TTGCCCTCTGGATTCGGCGGGGCCGCGGGTCTGCAGGGCGACCATTGCTGGGATCTGAGGGTGCAGCCTGGTGGCCCCACTCCTCTCTGGCCGGCCGCCTCCCCCTCTCACGACCGGCAGGCGGGTGCAGCAGGGACCAGGAGGCGGTTCTAGCCTCCGGGGCAGGGGGCACCGCAGCAAAGGGCCCCCGGGTGCCGTCAAGAGGCACTGTCTGGGGGTGCCTGGGCAGCTGGTACGTTCCCTGGCCCCGCTTGGCGCCGGCATGAAGTCCTGGTGCCGGGGGCAACTGGGTTGGGGTCGCCTGTGGGTTCACTGCACCCAGGGAACTCGAGCCCGGATCTTCACCCCCTTTCTTTTCCCTTCATTATAAGGCCCAGAGGGAAAAATTTCTCAGTTAAACACCCCGTTGCTCCTGGGCTGCAGGCTCTGGATTGGGGGCCCGGCGTGGACCTGCCCGGAGGCCGGGCCCCTTCCGCAAGGCAGGCGCTGTCTGGCAAGGCTGCCGGCAGGTCTGGCCGCAGATGGTGAAGGAGAACATTGAGACCCCCGCTCCCCAAGCAGGGCTAGATTGGGCAGTGGGCCTCGGAGTGCCTAGGCCTGGGCGAACTTTTTTTCCTGGCCTGATGCTGGGGGAGGATGAGGGTGAGGACACCTGTGAGGGGCATGCCCTGCAGGTCCCCAGTGGAGAGCAGAGCCTTAGAGGGGCCTGCCAGTGTTAACTTAGTATTTAATGGAAGGAGGAAGGCTTATTTTTTTCAGATCTGTTTAAATAAGACCTGGCAGGGACCAGACATAAATCTTGGTTGAGTGCAATCAGCTCCTAAATGGCCATGTGGAGGGTCAAGCACCCCAAGCTCCATATCAGGCCTCTGGCACTTTTTTGGGGTGGGGGACTAAACTGCCTTTGGCCGCTTTAACCTCCTGTGCCTCTTTTTGTTGTTCGTTTTTATTTTTTTATTTTTTTTATTTTCTGACCTCTTTGAGAAAGGACAGAGGTTTTAGAAATTAGGACCTGGGGGCTGGGCGCAGTGGCTCATGCCTGTAATCCAAGCACTTTGGAGGCCAAGGTGGGCGGATCACCTGAGCTCGGGAGTTCAAGACTAGCTTGACCAACATGGTGAAATCCTGTCTTTAAAAAAAAAAAATAAAATAAATAAGAAATTAGGACCTGAGAGCTTTGCAGGTTGAAGCGGGACAGGTTTTTCTAAGGTGCAGCTTGGTAGGTGCTGGGAGCCTGCAGGTGGCTTTTTCTCAGACCTCTGGGTCAGGGTCTCTCCAGTGAGGTGAGGCAGGGGTTTCTCCTGTCCCAGGAGGTGTGGCCACTACGTAGGAGACAGAATCTGTGTCTCCCAGTCCGAGGCGTACAGGATGCCCTTCTCTCTGCACTCACTCCTAGGTGACCTTGGGGGTTGCCTTCTCCTGCAGCCTGGGCTGGAGAGGGTCTCCTGAACTTAGGATCTCTTGGGCAGGAGGGCTGGGGTGACATGGACATGGAACCCGCCGGGGCTCTGGGCAGTGTCCAGGGCATGAGTGGATAAAGCTGGAGCTTGCGGCTGTGTGCCGGCAGCCCTCCTTCGGTGGGTGCTAGCAGCACTGGCGGGGGGCCCTTGGAGTGGGATCCATGGCTGGGCGATGGCACTAGTGATGGGGCACTGAGTCTTCCCTCTCATTTTTTAGGAAAGGAGGTCTGTGCCTCTCTCTACTGTCCAGCTCCTGGGCTCCTGGGCTAGGAGAAGCTGCAGGCTGAGTCCCATGGGGTGTGAATGTGTGTGAGCAGTAGAGGTGGGGTGGATGCTGGAAGGGGGTGAGCTCTTCCTTCCATCTCCCCCCAGCCCCTGGCAGCCACCATTCTACTATCTGTCTCTATGTTTTTTTGAGATGGAGTCTTGCTCTTGTTGCCCATGCTGGAGTGCAATGGCGTGATCTCAGCTGACCGCAACCTCCGGCTCTGGATTCAAGTGATTCTCCTGTCTCAGCCTCCCGAGTAGCTGGGATTACAGGCTCCTGCTACCACACCAGGGTAATTTTTTGTATTTTTAGTAGTGATGGGGTTTCACTATTTTGGTCATGTTAGTCTCGAACTCCTGACCTCAGGCGACCTACCCGCCCGGCCTCCCAAAGTGCTAGGGTTACAGGCATGAGCCACCGCACCCAGCCTCTACTTTCTGTCTCTTTGAGTTTGACGATTCTAGGTGCCACATCTGAGTGGAATCATACAGTCATTTGTCTTTTTGCAGCTGGCTTTCTTTTGCTTTGCATGATGTCTTCAAGCCCCGTCTGTTGTAGCATGCATCAGAATTTCCTTCCTTCTTAGGGTTGATTACTGTCTCCATTGTATGGATAGAGGACGTTTTGTTTGCTGTTCATCCCTCAGGCATTGAGAATATCTTACATAGTAGAATCAAAGAAGCCTGTGAGGACTTCATCTTGGCTGCTCATGCTTTCTGTGCCTCCACCCTTTGTGAGGGTCGGGTGGACAGCCTGAGCTACCTGCTTATCCTGCTTGGAGCAGATCGGCCAGGTGCTGGGCGCAGAGGATGCAAACTGGAGCAGGAGGCAGTTCCTGCCCTCAAAGTACGGCAGTGACATGCCATGTTAGTGCCAGCCTTTCTGGGGCTTTATAAAGTGAAGAAAAGAGCCTATATCCATCCTGAAGGCTTTGTGACCACAGGCCTTGTGATGGATGCTTCTGTGTTCCCAGTTAGGTGAGAGCTCTTGGAAGAATCTCCTTTATCCCAGGTCCGCTAAGAATGGAAAGCCCCCTGCATGACTGTGACTGCAGTAGCTGGTGCGATCATCTGGTCACTTGCACCAGAGCCTGGGAGTTTGTGGCCTGCCAAGCTCACCTCTCATACTGAGATGCCAATAAATATTATTCAAAGTTGATACCCAGAAAGAGAGTTTAAAAAATAGAGAGGTGGAAAATAGCCACCAGTAGAATTAAAATCAGAAATTATGACAAGGTTGGCCAGCGGACTTGGTAAGTCCAGATCGGGGAGTGATGTTTCATTATAAGCTCTTTCAGCATTTGCTTACTTTGGTGTAAGTAGAAGAATTGTTTCATTTTTTTGAGGGCCATGTACAGCAAAGGACTCACCATCTGTCAGACACACTGATCAGTTTTCCTGGCAAGACAGAGTTGGAGGTTTCTGTCCTTAGGTGGGTGGGTGGCAGAGACGGCAGCTTGCCCTAAAGTATCCAGCAGCACCAGGGGCAGGAAATGAGAAGTGCTCAGTGATTGGTGGGATAATGGCATCTAGCATAAGGATTCCTGCCAAAATCTAATGGTGGCCGGGTGTGGTGGCCCATTCCTGTAATCCCAGCACTTTGGGAGGACGAGGCAGGTGGATCACTTGAGGTCAGGAGTTCAAGACCAGCCTGACCAACATGATGAAACCTCATCTTTACTTAAACAACAAAAAAAAACTAGCTGGGCAGAGTGGCATGGACCTGTAATCCCAGCTACTCGGGAGACTGAGGCAGAAGAATTGAATGAACCTAGGAGGCAGAGTTTGCACTGATCTTAGATTGCCCCACTGCTCTCCATCCTGGGGGACAGAGCAAGACTCTCTCAAAAAAAGCAAAACAAACCAACCTTAATGGTGTGCAATAAATGAAAATGCTGCCCCAGTTAGATGCGACTAGCATTTTTCAGCAACCTTCAAGGTCTTGTGTCATAGGAATGAAGATTCCAGCCTTTCCCACCCATGGAGGGGTGGATGGAATTTTCAATCCCAGGCACCCTGGGCTGTGCTGAAAGCCTCCGCTCACTCTGCCTGGGTTAGTTGGGAAAGAGAGCTCCCGCTGATCTCTTTTAACCCTCATCCTTTTGTACCACAGCAATTGCTTTCCTAGACATCAGAGCTGTGGCATCTTTGAAAATTCTAAAAAGCAATGAAGCGATTTTTCTCTTTTCATTTTTTTTTTTTTTGATACAACTGTCTCAGTTTGAAGTTTTGTTTTCAAATTAGTTCTAAAAGTGTGCCTGCTTCACATCATTTTTATTAAAGGGGCTTGATATGAAGTTAGTTAAAAATTCAAATATTTAGAGTTTCAGGGCCCATCATCTTGGTTTTAGGGGCAGTACCTCAATTTCATATAGTGTTACTCTTCTCCAGAAAGATGGGTAACTGAATAATTTACATTTTATGGTTTTTATGAGAAACATTATTTCTGGTTATAAATGGTAAACATCTTTTAGTATGTACAGTAAAAATACTGATTATGTTAGGTAAAAAAAACATAAGATGTGATTTTAATGTTCACTTCCTGTAAGTGCCTTCTGGAGCAGAAGGTTGTCTGTTCATGGATTCTCCATCTTGGATTTGGAAACTATGTTGCACTGAGACGTGGTCTGTAGGGAGGAGCCTGTGGGCAGAACAGTTTGGGTTCAGCTGGCCGCCTTTCTACTCTGTTCAGGGAGGCTGGGTCTCAGAGAAAGATGGCAGCAGTTAGGTCTTGTTGGGAAGAAAACACGGCTACCAACCTGAGACAATTTTGCCATCCCTGAACAAATGTGATAGTCGTTTGCCTACTTTTGGGGATGGTGCCTGTGGTTTGTGCAGGACGAGGTGGCAGCTGGCTTGCCTGCTGGCCTGTTTGGTGGAGATAAGATGCTCAGACCCACTGCTGCTATTCAGGGATCATGGAAATAATGAATGCACTTCCCTCTGTCCCCCAATCTCATTTGCATGTCTCTGGAGCGAAGCATGTATTCTTTTTCTTCCTTCATCTCAATTGAGCTTTTAAATTAAATACGTGTTGCCTAAGCCATTCAGAAATGTTTCACATTTGAAAAAACAAAAGGTAGCTGCCTCCATGATTTGTTCACCCACCCATACACCATGGCCCTGTAGGACAATCCCCCCTTGGCTGTGCTGAGCCCATCTTGAGCGTTTCTGGTTCTAATCAGAAGTGGAACAGTTTCAGTGCTTCTTAGAGGTTCATGTTAGTGATGAACTTGGGTGGAGATGGTGACATAGCTTGTTCTCTCCTCCTAGGCTCTTAGTGCATCTAGGATCCTGAGCTGCCAGGGGCCTGGCCACTCCCGCCCCGAGCCCTGCCTTGGCTGAGCTGGTCACCGCTGCGTGTCCCGGGCTGCCGGCCTGCCTGTCATCTGCAGTGCACAGGTATGCATGTGTGTGCATATGTACACGTACCACACATGTACCATGCCTACCTCACACACCACATACATGCCCCATACACACCACACACAATAAACATGTCTACTCACCTGACACACCATACACTACGTATATACCACGCCCACCTCACACACCCCACACACTTAACCCATAGGCAGCACACACACCACACGCATACCATGCCCACCTCACACACATTAGACACATACCATGCCTACCTCACAGATACCACACCCATACCCCATACACACCATACACAACACACATATACCCACCTCACACACCATACACTACATTATACACCACACCCACCTCACACACCCCACACGTTGAATTTGTATGGATACACCACATATACCACACACATGCTATAAGCACCTCACACACCATACACATATCATACCCACGTGATATACCAGGAACATATCATATCCACCTCACACACAGAACACACATACCCCGTACACACCACACACAACGTGCATATCATACTCACCTCACACACCACATAACACAAACCATGCCCACCTCACACACCCCACACATTTAACCCATATACACCACACACGTCATTCCCACCTCACACACATACCCCATACATGCCACATACAACACACATACACACCTCATACACCACATATATACCATGCCCACCTCACACACACCACACACTTAACCCATAGACACCACACACAGCGCACATTACCATGCCCACCTCACACACACCTTATACATATCATACCCACCTCATACACCACACATGTATCATACCCACCTCACACACCCCACACACTTAACTCATATACACCACACACACCACACACATATTATACCCCCCTCACACCACATCTATACCATGCCCACCTCACACACACCACATACTTAACCATATACAACACACACCACACACGTCATATCCACACCACACACATATTATACTCAACTCACACATATATCCCATACACAGCACATGCATATCATACCCACCTCACACACAATACACATAACACAACCACCTCACACCACACACCGCATGCCAACCTCACACACGCCACACATTTAACTCATATACACCACACACACATCATTCCCACTTCACACACATATTCCATACACGCCATACACAATATACATACCTACTTCACATGCCACATATATACCATGCCCACCTCACATACACCACACACCCATATATAGTGCACACACACTGCACACACACATACCCACCTCGCACACACCACACACTGAATCCATATACACTATACACACACCACACTCATGTCATACCCACCTCACAAACACTACACACATATTGTACCCACCTCACACACACCACACACTTAACCCATATACACTACATGTACACACACATATACTCACCTCACGCACACCACACACACCCCATATACACCACACACATATACCCACCTCACACACCACACACCATATATATGCCATGCCCCCTCACACACACCACACACTTAACCCATATACACCACACGCATCATACCCACCTCACACACACCACACACATATCATACGCACCTCACACACACCACACATGTATCATACCCACCACACACAACACATACCCACCTCACACACATATACACACCTCACACACATACCCCATACACACCGCATGCATATTATAATCACCTCACACACACCACACACTACATATACACCATGCCCACCTCACACACCACACACACTGAACCCATATACACCACACTCACCACAGACATACCCCATACACACCACATGCATATAACCCTCACACACACCACGTATATACCATGTCCGCTTCACACACACTACGCACTTAACCCATATACACCAGACACCACACACATATTAAACCCACGTCGCAGACACCACACACAACCCTTATACACCACACACATATCATGTCCACCTCACAAACATTACACACATACTTCATACACATCTTGCACTCTTTACACGTACCACACACCACACATATACACCATACACACCTTATATACACACAACAGACATACACTCACCACAGAATACCATACATACATACACCATGTACATTTCATACACAGCACACACCCCATACGTGCCACACACAGACACTTCATAAATACCGCATACACAGCACACCACATTCCACATACATATTACATCACCCATACAACACATCACATTCCACACAGACAACTTATTTGCACTACACAGACACCACACACACCACACAATATCATACATACATACACCATACACACCTAATGCACACCACACACACCCCATACACACCACATATACTACACACACCTCATATAACCACAGTTACATACACCCCATACATACCACACACCACATACACTACACCATGCACATAAAACATACGTACACGCTTAACCTTTCCACACTACATTATACTCCACACACTATCACATTCATATCAGACACACCACATACCACACACCATACACCGTATACTCCACACACTCACCACACCCTCCAGGATGCCCCACCACCATACACACACACAGCACACACTCACTATTCACCACATCACACACACTGTATCTCACGCACACACCACACACCCCCACCACACACATTTGCATGCAAACTACTCATTTTACATTCAAACTACTCAAATGAAACTGAACGATTTAGTTTTTCCCAAATTAATACTGCCAGTCAGCGTGACCCGGCTGTGCTGGCTGGTACATCCGCTGGTCCTGCCTTCCCTTGGGTCAGCACCCCCTCCTGTTTTTCGGATGTCTCTGGCTGTGCCGTGTGGAGTGCTCATGTCTGGATCGCGTGGGAGCCTGGCCCCTCTGCTCCAACGGCTGCTTTCCTGGAGGAAACTGGCCTGTTTGCTGCCTCTCCTGATGGCCAGAGCGGTGGCTGGTGCAGGAAGTCCCACTTCCTTCCCTCAGTGTCTGCCCTTCCCCACGGGACATTTTGTCTCAATTCTGACATCTCCCCAGCTAGAATAGAGAGACCCTCAGAGACGTGCAGGTCGGTTTGATTACAATGCTGGTGAACAGTCAATGTGTTTTGGTAAAACACTCAACCAGTACATACATCTTTAATAAAGTAAAATGTGCACAGCCTCTCTGCTCCCACCTCTACCCCCTCCCCTCCCCAGAGGACATGGCTGACAAGCCATTGGGGGCTTCCTCCTTTCTGTGTGCCTTTGCATCCGTGTATGGGCTGGGGAGTGTGTGTGTATTCTCTAGCTATCTTGACGGAGCTGGAACTGGGCTGTACACATGTGTGCTCGCTGTAGCTCACTTGCCATTTTCCCTTCAAAACAGGCCTTTAAGATCCCTCACTGTAGTGTGTGTTGTCCTGCCTCTTTAAAAATGCAGCCTGGGTGACAAGGGCAAAACTCCATGTCACAACAGATATTATTATGATATTAACATAAATGTGAATATCACGTATGTACATGTGTACAGATTGTACATAATGTCCATATGTATGCACACGTGTATATATTGTATATGTGCACATATACACACATTGTGATATATGTATGTATATATATGTAATGTAATTGTGTATGTAATGTGAACATATATGCATATGTATATATTGTACATATGTACATAATGTGCACCTATATGTACATGTGTACCTCCTGTATATATGTAATGTGCATATATATGTCCACATGTACATATTGTACATAATGTATGTAATGTGCACATATATGTACACATGTACATATTGTAATCAATAAATGTATAGGTACATGTGTACACAATACTTATGCACATAATGTGTACACTATATAATGTGAACAACATATACGTTTATTGTGATATGTATTGTGTATATTGATTATATATTGTGATTATATATATCATTGTGATTACAGTAAATGTACATATTGTACATATTATATACATATGTATTGGGTACACATTATGTACATTTACATGTGACAGTTTTAGCTGTGTAGTTTGAAAAAGTTGTGTGCTTTACAAATAAAAAGCTCCTTTTGTTGTTACTATTGGTCCCCAGGAGAAATGGGAGTTCTTTTCAGATAGCATGGGAGACACATGAGTCCTTTGCAGTCCTCTTGTCTGCCTCTGAGGGTGAAATGAGAGTGTGAAGCACTTTGGGAGATGGCCAGGCACACAGGCTTGGTGCAGAGTAGAGCTGCTGTCCTGGTGGTGCAGCCCCAGCCATCATGAGCCATGTCTGAAAGAATTAATCACATTTCATGTGCAAGCATGCTCTCTGTTTGACTGTGCTGTTGTTTTTAACAAGAGCATCATAGACAATGCTTTAACCTGAAAGCCCTGCCTAATTGTGTTCTATGTAATAATGCTTGGGCTTGAGGAGGAGGCAGTGTTGGGGGAGAAGGAGGGAGAATTGACGTGTGAATTAGGGAAAGGTGTCTCTTTCTTTGGAGCGTGGATGGGTTCAAAGCCCTCCTCATACTACTAAGTATTTGGCTGGACACTACCAGTTGTGTGTCTAGACTGTGTGTGTGTGTGTGTGTGTGTGTGTGTGTTGGACACTACCAGTTGTGTGTCTAAACTGTGTGTGTGTGTGTGTGTGTGTGTCTGTCTGTCTCCAGGGCTGAGCAGCACCTCCTCCTTCCTGTGGTAGCATGTTTCTCAGAACCTTGGATAACTCCCAGCTCTCCTAAAAACACAACACATGTGTGTTACAAGAAATTTATCTTGATGATTTGCATGAGGGTGGTGATTGAAACCAGGTCATTTCCCATTTACCACTGAGGCCAGCTCACCTTTGCTGAAGAGGGTTCTTAACTCTTACTTTGTAGCAGGAACTCCTAAGTTAAGCCTTTTCAAGAGTTTCAGGCTGAAAGTCAAGATCTCTCAGGTTAGACCCAATGTTAAAATTTTAACTGGGCAAATTCTCATTAGAGACAAGGGGCCAAAGACTGTGCTGATGGAACCTGATGTCTTTTAATGTTGACTTCAATCCAGTAAAGCACTTGTTAAGCCATTTAACTGTAAAATTGGGCCTTGGGGAGGCAGTGCACCCTCTGAAATTAGAGGTCAGGAGATTTGAATTTGTTTTACAGCCCTCTGCCAGTCAGTCAGCCACTCACTTTCAAGTGACAAGCCTTAGGCGGGTGACTTTCTGTCTCTGTTTCTCGGTTTTTGCACAGAGATTTATGTGGGCCTTAAGGCCCACTGGGAAACGATCCTGTTTCAGCTCAGTGCCTGGTTTGTTGAGTATACTTGTCAATCTGGACTTTCATACACCTGTGCTTTTGGATGAACTCTATTACCTCTGCTAGAAGTTAACACAGAAAATTCACAGTTGATTGACAAGAGTGAGAATCAGTTCTAAAGAATTAAAATAAAATTGAATCCTTTATTACTAAAAGAATGCTCATGTGGACACAGATCACTCATTCTAACTTTATCAGCTATAGCACTTAGAGACAACTTTTTCAAAATAACACAGCTAAATGTACATAATGTGTATACAACATGTACATTTATATATACATATATATTGTGTACACATGTACATCACAATAAATGTATATATTGTACGTATTGTATACTTTTATTATATCCCAATAAATATACACATTATGACTATGTTCTGGGATATTATTTTTAGTATGTTAGATAAAAATTACTGCTAATATCAAAGTGGGTATACACCCATGTGTGTACGTTTTGTGATATTATCCATAATATCCTAAGTAGATATTACTCTTATCGTGAAAGCGAGTGTACACTCTGTTCCAATATCACAGGCGGTATACAATGCTGCTGTGATATAGTTCCTAATATCCTCAGGAGAGAGGATGATTAGAGCCTGAATATCGCAATAAGTGTACACCACCACTGTAATATTGTTTCGAATATCCAAAAACGGGGAGGATATTACTCCAAATACCTCAGGAAGCGCACAAACCCCCAGTGATATTGTTCCTAATATCTAGGGGATGAGAGATGATGTTCCTCACAATGTGGCGGAGGCTGTACACCTGCCCTGTGATATTGTTCCTAAAATCCAGGGAAGGAGAGGACGATGTTACTGCCCATATGGTAAAACTCTCAATATGGCAAGAGATGTACACCACGCTCTTATATTGTAACTAAGGTCCACAAAAAAAATAATTTTACTGAATTAAATATTGCAAGCGGTGAAACCCCCACCCCCCACCCCCAATTTCAATTCTAATGTCAAGGGGGGCGAGGATGATATTTCTGTCAGTATCGCCGAGGTGGAACTAGAACTACTGTTGTTGTGCCTAATATCAAAAAAGACACACAGTAACATTATCTTCTCCCTATGATATGATTCCCAATATCATATTACTCCAGATTTTCTAAATAGCCACTGTGGGCACAGCCCCCTAGCCAGAGGGTTCCTAGCAGCTGGGGCAAGGGGGTCCGGGGTGCTGCTACTTACCCTCTGGCTAGGGGACTGTGGGCACAGCCCCCTAGGCAGAGGGTTTGTAGCAGCTGGGGAGGGGCCAGGGTGCTGCTACTCACCCTCTGGCAGGGGCTTGGGGCATAGCCCACATTATGTACATCTGTACATAATATGCACACGTGTACATATTGTACATCTGTACTTAATGTGCACATATGTACATGTATATTCTGTCTCAGAAGCATAAAGCAAGAAGGAAATATGGAGATATGGGCCTTTGTTTCCAGAACAGACAGACCTGGGCTGGGCACAGAGTCTCAGAGCATTAGGAGACAGGCCACAGATCCCTCATCAACTGGATTATTGGAAGAGCAAAAGCCAGTTACTCAGCTGCGGGACTTTTCTAGGTCTGGGCTCCCTGCTGTACCATGCAGTGTCTGGGTGGGTATGGTGAGTCATAGCACTTGGACAGACCTGACTGACTGACCGGGGGTAACAGGTGTGAGGACCGAACAGCTCTCTAACAGCCTGCAAGGGTGCTCTGTCTCAGTACCCCCCACCCCCATGCCCATTTTCAACAGGATCTGGCACTCTAATAGCTTCCAGAGGTGCTCTGCCTCAGCCCCCCTCCCCATGCCCACCTTTAAGAGAATTTGGCTCTATCTGCCCTGCTCCTCTGGGTTCGCAGGAGTCTCTTAGGCAAATTAGATAGGAAAATGCCAAATCATGGCCAGAGAAGGTTGTCCCCTAGCCCCATGTACCCCTGTGCCCTGCCTCCCACCAAGCTCCCTGTGCTCCTGAAAGGTGCTCTGTGCATTCATAACACTGGCCATGACCTCACCTTGAGATAAGGTTTCACTCTGTCCCCCAGGCTCCAGGCTGGAGTGCAGTGGCACAAACATGGTTCAGTGTAGCCTTGGCCTCCCGGGCTCAAGAGATTCTCCCACCTCAGTGCCCTAAAGTGTCGAGATTACAGGCGTGAGCCACCGCACCTGGCCCATGCAGACTATCTTAAATATCTATATTCTCCTGTCAACCTTACGGTAGCCATAGATTATAACAATTTTTAAACAAGAAAACAGAAACAGATTTAAATAAGAAGCCCACTCTGAACAATAAAAGTAAGTGGCTGAGCCAGGACTAAAGTTTCCTCGACTCTTAGTTCCACACTTTTCTGACAACATCTCAAACACACCAACAAAGAGTTCCAACAGGCTGAGACAGGCTGCTGATCTGCAGCAGGGCCAGGGTGTGCCTAGTGTGAAGGCTGCCAAGGCCGGTGGCTCCCTGATGCTCAGCAGAGTTGCAGAATGTTGGCATGGGGTGAGGTGAGGGAGAGCAGCAGAAACGACTCTCCACATTCCATGTTCCTCAAAGAGATGTCAAGGGGATGTTTCTGAGGGAAATATTTTTTTTCAAGTATATGAAAACTAATAGGACTCAAACCTTTGGTGGATGTTGTCAGTCAAAATAGACCCTATTATTTTTGGTAATGAGTGTGGTTAAGACTAAGAAACTATTGTTCCATCCTTTTCTCTTTCTTTTTTTTTCTTTTTGGAGACATGGTCTCACTCTGTCACCCAGGCTGGACTGCAGTGGTAAGATCACAGAATCACAGCTCACTGCAGCCTTGAACTCCTGGGCTCAAGCAACCTTTCCGCCCCAGCCTCCTGAGTAGCTGGGGCTACAGGCATGTGCCTCCATATCTGGCTGATTATTTTTATTTTTGAAGAGACGAGATCTCCCTATGTTGCCCAAGGAATCCTCCTGCCTTGGCCTCCCAAAGCACTGGGATTATAGGTGTGAGCCACTGCACCTAGCCAACTTCTCTTATTGAAACTGAAGTTATATGAACACCCAAATACAGTCTTGCTGTTAAAAAAGCCGAACATTCAGGTAATGCTAAACTTCCTTTGCTGCAAATTCCAAGCCTTTCCCCAAAGACAACCACAGTCAAGAAGAGTATGCTTCCAGATCTTCTAGGAAATACGCATGTTTCTATGGGAGCACAGAGTCTTGTTCAGTGTTTCATCTCCCTTACAGGCATGGGATCTTGATGTATTGTCCTGCCTTTCCAACTGAGTGGCCGACACTCCCCTGACTCAGTGGGAGGTGCACTTTGACTTGTCCAGGGCCACTCCTGGGAAGCTCCCCATTATCCCCTGAGAATGGACATCCTCAGTGACCTCCTGCTCCCATATCATGCCCCCCAGCTGCGAGCACCCCACAACTCTCCCCAGCCTCCTCATAGCTCCCCTCTTTTTTTTTTTTTTTTTTTTTCATTGTGGCAGGATAAATATAAAATGTGCCGTTTTAACCATTGGAAAGCATACAGCTGAATAGCATTAAGTACATTGACATTGTCTTGCTACCCTTACCATCATTCATTTCTGGAACGTTTTCATCTTCCTCACTGGAAATTGCATTCCTGTTAAACATTAACTTCCTGTTCCCCTCCCCAGGCCTCTGGAAACCAACCACCTTCTACTTTCTGTCTTATGAATTGGACTACTCTAGGTACTTCAGGTAAGTGAAATCACTCATTATTTGTCCTTTTGTGACTGGCTTATTTTACTTAGCATCATGTCTCGAAGGTTCATCCATGTGGTAGCCTGGGCCAGAATTTCCTCCTTTCTTAAGTTGAATAATATTCCATTGTATGCATGTTCCACGTTTGGTTTATCCATTCCCCTGTTGATGGACACTTAGTTTGCTTCCACCCTATGAGGTACTGTGAGTAAGGCTGCTGTGCACATAGGTGTACAAGTATCTCTGAGTTCCTTCTTTCCCTTCTTTGAGATGTAAGTTCTGCAGCAGCTTTCCCAGTACATTTCAGGTGGTGGTTGTCTTCTTCATTTGAATGCCCCTTGCATTTTGTCTACTTCCCATAGTTACCTACTGATAACAGTTTGGAATTAGGTTGCTGCACAAATCTCACGTCACATTGTAACCCCCAGTGTTGGAGGTGGGGCCTGGGGGGAGGTGATTGGATCATGGGAGTGGGTTATATCCAGTTGTATCACTCCTCCGGTTATATCACCATTTCTGTCCCTCAATTGTTAACCAGTTTAACCCTTCTCATTCCATTCGTTATTGCTGGTATCACTTCTGTCTCCATTTTGTGTCATAAATGGTTTAGCACCATCTTTTTGGTGCAGTATTCGTGATAGAGTTCTCATGAGATCTGTGGTTTAAAAGTATGTAGCACCTCCTCAACCTCATCTCTGTTCTTCCTGCTCTGGCTGTTTGAAGTGCCTTGCCCCCCTCACCTTCCACCATGATTGGAAGCTTCCCGAAGCCTTCACAGAAGCAGAAGCCACTGTGCTTCCTGTACAGTCTGCAGAACTGTGAGCCAATCAAACCCCTTTTTAAAAAAATAAATTACCCAGTCTCAGGTATTTCTTTATCACAGTGAGAAAACGGACTAATACACCTACCAAAAGCACTCCTTTTTCCTTTCTAGGGTAGCTGTAGGCTTAAACAAATGGTTCTTCGTTTCCAAAGATTTGGGGCAGGGGAAAGAGGCTATTCTCAGACTCCCGTAGTAGAAGACTCCGTTCCAATGTCCCTGCCTCTGTTGATTTTCCTGACCAATCCCTAGGGACTGAATCCCCCTCCTTTTCGCTCAGGTTCCACTGTGTTCTCTTCTGGCACAGTGTTGCTGCCCTTTGTTTAGAGTCCATCTTCCTCACGAGACTGTGCTTTTTTTGTCTTTGATCTGCTGTATTGTAAATAGTGAAGAGTATCTGTTTTAAAATTTTTAATTAATTTAAAAAACATCTTTAATGACTGGGCATGGTGGCTCATGCCTGTAATCCCAGAACTTTGGGAGGCTGAGGCAGGTGGATCACTTGAGACCAGGAGTTCAAGACCAGACTGGCCAACATGGTGAAACCCCCTTCTACTAAAAATACAAAAATTAGCTGGGAATGGTGGCACATGCCTGTAATCCCAGCTAATGGGGAGGCTGAGGCAGGAGAATCGCCTGAACCTAGGAGGTAGAGGTTGCAGTGAATCAAGACCGTGCCACTGCACTCCATCCTGGCTGACAGAGTGAGACTCTGTCTCAAAACAAACCCCCAAACTTTAATAATTATATACAGTTAAAAAAATTCAAACAAATAAAAGGTTTATGAACCTTAACTTCCCCCTCCTAGTCTTAGTACTCTTCAGAAGGAAACAGCTCTCTTTCAACTTTTAGTGCCCTGACTCTGAGTGTTAATTAGCTTCTCTAAGTAGTAGACTTGTGCCCCTACACCACCAACCCTGTAGGGCATTATCTACTGGCTTCTGCTGTGGTTGATGAGAATTCAGTTCATCTGTACCGCCACCCACCTTTCTTGCTCCCACTGGTTCCAAGGCTTTTCCTCTCTCTATTCCCAGGCCCACTGTCATGGGACTTTGTAGTCCTGCCCAGTTGCATATCCCCTGATTTTGACTTTGGGCTCAGTCATGTGATATGCTTTGGATAATGGGATGTTTGCAGGCATGATGCAAGTAGGGGTTAGAAAAGTGCTTGTGGGCCAGGTGTGGTGGCTCATGCCTGTAATCCAGGCACTTTGGAAGGCCAAGGCAGGTGAATCACTTGAGGCAACATGGTGAAATGCAGTCTGGCCACCATGGCAAAACCCTGTCTTCACTAAAAATGCAAAAATTAGTTGGACGTGGTGGCGCATGCCTGTAGGCTCAGCTANTGTGGCTCATGTCTGTAATCCTAGCACTCTGGGAGGCCAAGGCAGGTGCATTACCTGAGGTTAGGAGTTTGAAACCAGCCTAGCCAACATGGTGAAACCTTATCTCTACTAAGAATACAAAAATTAGCTGGGCATGGTGGTGGGTGCCTATAATCCCAGATACTTGGGAGGCTGAGGCAGGAGAATTGCCTGAACCTGGGAGGCGGAGGTTGCAGTGAGTCATGGTCACACTACTGTACTCCAGCCTGGGCGATTGGGTGAAAGAGTGAGACCTTGTCAAAAAAAAAGAAAGTGCTTGTGCAGTATGGTCTGTTCTGTTGTACCTCTGTCATCAGGTGGGTAGCCTGCTGGTCTTGGGAGAAGGATAGAAAATGTAGGGCAACACCATCCCGGTGACTTGTAGACTTGCAATCTGGCCAGACCCAGCCTTGATCAGTTGAATTCTAGTATGTCTGCAGATGGGTGAACAATCAGAAATGATTGTTCTATCAGACCACTGAGTTTTGAAGTAGTTTGTTATACAGCAGTAGCTAACCAATACATACCACGATCTACCTTCCTAGTCCCCTTCTTTCTTCTCCAGTTATATCACCATTTTTGTTCTTCAATTGTTACCAGTTTAACCTTTCTCATTCCATTAATTATTGATGGTATCTCTTGTCTCCCATTTTGTATCATAAGTTTATTTTCACTCCTCTTCCTTCCACCTCCACTCACCACTTTCCTGATTTCTATCAGGAAATTCCAATAGCTTATTTCCATCTAGCTACACTTTAGCTTTTACACAGAGATGTCTGATTTCATTAACGTTTTGTTTTGTAACAGGATGTTTGGACACCTGGTGCTTTCTAAGTCCATAAGGTTTCTATGGAGGAAAATTGACAAAAGATTGTTTTAGAGCAAACCCACAATTTCCCATAAACTAGTTTAGTGTGTTTTTCTTCCTTGTAACCAAATGATCCCAGATTAATATACCCTTAGTCCCATCAAAGCTCCTGGCGACCAAAACATAAGCAGCAGGATGCATTGAGTTTGTTGGGTTGTTAGTGGCAGTAATAAAACCCTGGAATATTTCCTCTCTGACAACTCTTTCTGTCACAAACATTTGTGCTAGTAGCAGATGTATAGGTCACATCAATTTCATGTAACAACTGTACTTTACAAAGCTGTCTTAATTAGTGAAGATAAACCAAGATGGGCATTGTGCCCAGGAAATCAGTGTGACGTTTAACAAGAAGGATATTTTTGATGAACACACTTTGCCATAATTTTTTACCCGATACAATAAAAATTGGCAATGCATATGAGTAGATATTTTGTAAGATTTAGGCTGGAGATGGTGATGTTCTCAATCGTAGGAACACTATCCTTGGGTTTGAGGAATCTCAGGTCTCTTCTGACCCCTCCACACTTACATGGGTCAGAGAATACAATGAGGAAACCTTATCTTCTGAGGACATTGGTTCCTTTATTTCCCCCATATTCTCTGGATTCATGAAAAGAACATGGATTTGGGAGGAGACGGTTTTACGTTTGAGCAGCCACTTTACCATGGCTTGGCAAACGGAACTTGTCCAAATTTCTTAATGTTTCTCATCTTCACTTTCCTCAAATAAGGAAAATAAATAAATGCCTAATAGGTTCTGCTGTGAAGAGTCAATGAGCAAAGCATCACATGTGCTTGAGTCATAGACAGTACATAACAAAAGGTAGCTCCTTTTATTCTTACTATTATTCATCACCTTGAGATACATTTTATCTTAATATTTAACTTAGCTCATTTTATAACCCATACCACTTGTAGTGAGAATGTATTTTTTTTTTTTTTTTTTTTTTTTTTTTTTTT